AATATTAATTTAAAAATTAATTTGAGTGATGTCATTATTAAAATGCTACCATCAGATAGTTTGGTATGTTGTTTAGACCCAAGTAGGTGCAATTTATATTATAATTCATTTCAAACACTCAGACATTTCTGGATATATTATAACTGGATAATAGCTACTATTTTATTATTATTGACAATATGGAAATGTTTACCAAAATGTAGACTAAACAATGAGGTACTTAAAAAATGTATTACTAGCATATTAATTGAATAACTACTAAATTAAGTATGTTAAAAGTTTTTTAAATTGTATTACACAGTGGTGCGACCCGAGGAGAGAGATAAAATGATATTCAATTTTAAGTTTTTTAACTGTACATTACATCTTTTAGCGATATAACTGAAAAACAATTTTGAATTATCCTTTTTTAAAATTTTAAAGAGTAGTGATGCAGAAAATAATTTTTTTGATTAACAAAAGAATTGTCGTCAAATAATTATAACTAATTATACGTCTTCTTTTTTTTTTTTTATATATATATATATATAAAATAATAAAATTTACAATCTGTACATAAGAAAAGATACAATAAGCAAATAGGTGAACAATAGAATATAACATATTTGACTTGAAAACAGGAAAAAGGGAAGTAATCCAGTAATGGGACCCTTTTGACTTAAATTGGTTATTTAGCCATCACAATATTAATTTAAAAGGTCACGGCACCAACGTCTTTTTAGACGGCGAGGAGGGTTGTCCGGAATTGTAACTGTATGTTGGTTAGCAATTAATGGATTTGGATGTAAAAGTAATTTAGAGTGAAACTTTTTTTAGTATAATTTAACTAAAATATCGACTGGTTCAATGTTTAAATCTTTATGTAGGGTAAGATTGGAGACATACCAAGGAGTGGACGTGATTGTACGAAGGGAAATTGCTTGGAAGGCTTCAATTGTTTTAAGCTGTGATGTTTTGGCACAACCCCATATTTGGGCTCCGTAAGACCAAATTGATCTTAACCATTGACTTATAGATGATTATTTTGTTATGTACAGGAAGTTTTGATTTTAATACAGGACGTAGTAAGTGGGATCTAATGTTTAATAGCTTTCTTTTGGATTTGAGATGAGGACCCCTCATTTCAAGGGTAATACCAAGATATTTGATTTGAGTCGAAGAAGGGATAGGAACTCCTTGGAAGGAGAGAATAGGCATTTTTTTTTTTATTGAGAGTGAAAGGAACATTTACTGATTTGTCTGCATTGATTTTAATTTTCCAATTTGTGCACCACTTATCTATATAGTCGAGGTGGTGTTGAAGAGCATTATAAGCTGCGATTGGGTCTTCGTTAGAAGATAAAATGGCTGTATCATCAGCGTAGGTAGCCAAGGAGGTGTTTTGAGTTTGGGGGATGTCTGAAGTGAAAATATTGTATAAATCGGGGGAGAGGTCACTACCTTGTGGAACTCCTGCTAGGATGGGAAAAATAGAGGAATGAGAATTACCATAACGAACTTTAAAGGTTCTGTTTTCTAGATACGAGCGAATAAGAAGGTATAGGGGAGCAGGAAGGAATGATTTAATTTTATAGAGTAAGCCAGAATGCCAAACCCTACCAAAGGCCTGAGCCACATCGAGAAAGACTCCCGGACAATATTCTTTATTTTCAAAGGATGATGAGATTATATCGACTAGCCTGTGTATTTGTTGTATAGTGGAATTATTTGAACGGAACCCGAATTGAGCGTTGGGTATTACTTTATGTGATTCTAAGATTGGTCTTAATTTTTTCAAAATGATTTTCTCGAATAGCTTACCAAGCATTGGAAGCAGACTAATTGATCTATGTGAGGTTGCTATACTGGGGGGTTTGCCCGGTTTGAGAAATACGCCTCCTATAAAAAATTTTTAGTTGCACCATAGTCCTTATATGTATTCAGAATCTATTTAGTGTTAATTTTACAAACGTATTTAACTAACACATTAAATAAAAAAAGACTAGAAGATAACAACTTTTAACACATCAGTTGACAAGTAATTACCATTTTAAAGTATAGAATGTTTGTTAGGTTTGTTGCGTTATTACATTACGTGTTACATAACCAAAAACATTTGCATTGGTCTTATGGAACGTTTAAACATTTTTACCGACTTAACATTTTTTGAATTAGATAATTTTTAATTTTAGTTAAATGTGTATGTTATCATTACAAAAAATAAAATTAAGATCCTCATAAGGTACAAGGGATGAATTAAAATAGCAATTTTAAATAAACTCAATAAATAGAGAAATATACGAAAATGAAAATTACAAAAAAAAATTTCCTTAACATAATTAATTATTATTCTAATTTAAATCGAAAAGCTAATAATAAAAGAATTACCTGTATATCGTATTATTTTGGTAGTATTTCATAATAAAATATTATTTTTTTAAATTGTACACAACTTCTAAATCTATATTGAACATAATTTATATTTTAAATTAAAACTGTTTAAATTTTATATACGAGTAATAAATATTTATTTAATAGTAAAATATTTAATTCATGATATTTTTTTATTTAATTTTTTTTTTTTTTTTTTTTNGTTTATGAATATTTAACAAATCCGATTTATCATAAATTATAAAAACCCTAGCTTCTTCATTTTTTTTTATGAAAATTTTTGAGTCCTTGAACCATACAAATTTATAATCATTCTCTTTTGCAAAATTTCTGGTATTATAAAATAGTTCACTGTTGTACTTAGTAAGATAATTATTAATGTAAATACCTGTTTCTCCCCAATTTTTATTTACAGAGCTAGCATTCATTTTTATTTTCTTCGAAGCCTCCATAATTTTCTTTTTTTGATCCAAGGAAGATATTTCAGCAACTATTTTCGAAGATTTGTTTTGAAATTTCGAAATTATACGATATGCTTTGTTTACTGTAACTTTTTGATCCAACTTCTCAGCAATACTCTCAACTATTTTTATACAATTTTCTTTTTTAACTTCAGGAATACCTATTATTTCAATATAGTTTGAAATCGAATTTTGTTCTAACATATTTACACGTTTTGACAAGGCAGACAATTCATTATTTAAAACCTGGTTTTTTTCTTTAAGTAGATTATTTTCATTTTTCAGTTCTTTTATAGTTTTCAGTACTTCTTTTAATTGCTTGCCAAATTCGTCAAATTGGCTACTGAGAAAATTTACAGATCGTGTAAGCGTAGTTAACGAGTCATTCGATTCAATTTTATTGTTTACGTTTTTATCTTTTGAGATTACAACTGTATTAGTTTTACGCGAAGTTATGGGATCATTTGATTCAAATATATTGTTTACGTTTTTATCTTTTGAAAATTCGACTGTATTTGTTTTACAATTTGAGCTTTATAAAATTGTTATAGTATTCTAAATTTTTTTTAAACAAATCCAGAATTAAAATAACAAAAAAATGTTTGAGAACATTTAAATTACTATTTAGTAGAATTTGTATTAATACTTTTCAATTTTGCAAGCTATAATTTTTTTGGACTTCACAATTATTATAATTAAGATCAAGAAAATCAACACATTTTAATACTCAATTATTTTAGTTTAAACACCATAGATTCAATTATGATAGAATGTTTGGGGGTGCTAATTGTATTTTTTCGTCGTCCTAAAAATTACAATACACTATATATTCTTTATATAATTGTCAACATTTTTGATAAGTCTAACTTGTCAAGAAGGAAGAAGCTTAGTTGCGCCTATAGTCTTGTCTAAATAAAATGTACGACGATTAATTAATTAAAATAAATGTTAAATTATATTTTCTAAACTTTACTATTGAGATAAAATTGAAAATGTCAAAATATCTATTGTAAAATATTAACCTAACTGTTTTTTATGATATAGGAAACTCTCAAGTATTAAAATAATTAAATTTAGGAATGTTTCAGAGAAAGGTGTGTTTACCAAACAAGTCATATAACTAAAATGTTTTGCTGGTTTTTAAAGAAAATTAAAAAAATTTTCTCAGATGAAGAAAAAAAAAACCTAAATCTTTGTCCGTCTAATCGACCTATAAAACCATTAGATTATTGTGAATGTGCTCAAGTAAATACAATAAGTTAAATAAATTAGAAAATACTACAAACATCTCTTATATTTTAGGATTAATAACACTGTTATTTTGTTGAAAACAGGCATAATTCTATGCGTTCAAATGACATCAATTTTTTGTAGTATCAACAGAGTGCGTTTAGGAAAGGAGGGCTGGGTGCGATTTATACTGTTGGTACTAAAATATGAAGTATTATAAATTTTAATTTTTTTTTTGCTTATTGAAATAAGAAAACAATTTTGATAAGCAAAATAAAAAGGTCATTGGGTGACAATTCTAAATGTGAGCCAGAAGTCAGCGTTAACAAATTTATTCTTTGTAGATTATTTCACTACATAATGATACAGTTTCTCTTATTTAAATTTAATATAAAATTGTTTTATAAAAACTGTATTAGTTAAGTCCACTTTTGTTACAAAAGTTACGCCTTTTATCATAGAGTATACTTATAAATGATTTCAAAAATAAAATTTATTAGTGCGTATTTAACATACATCTACTTAATTACTAAAATTTAAAGGAAATAATATTGATTTGATATACAAAATGTATTGCAAATATTGTTTTAGATATCATACTTCCTTCACTTGTTATTTAAGTATACGATTAATTTTAACTGAAATATTATGATTTGTTTAATTTAAGTTATTTGTATCATTTTAACCTCTATTTTTTATCCACTTAATGCCTTTTTTACATATCTATTATATTTTATTATGTTTATCATTATTGAATGTATTAATATTGTTACTGTACTTGATCCCACATGGGTGTTTACCCAATAAAAAAATATAACATTTATATACATTAATATACGAGGATATTATAATGGAGGGAGAGTGAATGGACTTATTTTAGTTCTTAATCATATAATTTAACAATTTGTCAGGGCCTATTTATAAAATTAACATTTGTTTAAAAAGTACTTATGACAAACTCATTAAATAACATTAAATTAATATCATTTTTTGTAAATATTTAGGAAGAATGTATGATTGAAAAATCCATGAACGACTGTGAACAAACATTTTCCAAAAAGTTGAGCTCCAAAAGTTTCTGTGCTATAAATTTGGAAAAACAATTAACAAAAGAGTGTGAAATATCTGAAACTTGCCAACTTTCAGAAAGTGTAGTATCAATTATTAAAAAAACTTACTGTTAAATACAGATATTTAACAAAATAATTATAAACTCAATCAAAATTATTTAAATTTATTAGAAAAAATATGAATAGGATAAAATGTTCACAAATGTTAAAAATTAAATTCTCTAACAATTTCTTCAATCAAAAGGTCATACTTCTTAAAATATACTTAAGTTAATTTTCTAATTGTTTTTCAATCATATTATACCAATATAAACACAGTGATCTTCTAACTACATCGCACCTATTATCTTCAAAAATATATGATTAAGTATAATTTTTTTCATTTCAGGATTTGCTAATATTCTATCCACTTTGAAAGTAAATATTGAATAGTAAATAGTGAAGAGCAGATGCTAATATTTTTATTACTTAACATTTACCGGCTGTACTCTTAGTCCTATCTAGATATAATAATGAAAATAACATTCAAAGTACTGGTCCAAAAGTTTTAATATATATCAGTCATTCTCTTAATTAGATTATTTTCTATTTTATAAGCTAGTTAAATATGTATGTTGCCATTTAATATAATTTAGGTAACACCCCTTTAAGTTAAAAGGGATAATTTCAAAGAGTAATTATTAGTTGATATATCAAGAAATATATATAACTAAAAAAATTTAATTTTTTTTCTCAATATTTCATTTATTTTGGGAGTAATCAAGTGGTTTATGATATACACATCACCTTATATACAGGATTAAGTTGGTAACCTTGTAAAGGAAGGACGTAAAAACAAATGTAAGCACTTCATTTTTTTTATGAATCACCACATCACCTAAATGCATCACATTTATTATAAAATAAAATTTATTTCAGTGTGATTTAATTAAAATTTGTGATTTTATAAATAAATATAGGCCTAAATTAAGAAAATTTTGAAAAATCATATTATTAAAAAAATCCTTAAGTAATTAAGAATTCAAAATAAATTTGTCTACGTTATAATAATAGAATTTTATTATATAACTAAATTATAAAGTATCACTTACAAAAGTCATACACATTGAAGCAGTTTAAACACATATGGTTATGTATCATAGACAGTAAATAAATGCTAAGTTTCTTTTAGCTTATTTGTATTTTTCATAATTAATTTATCAACTAACTCGTGATAGGTAGTTTTATTTTTACATAATGTAGTCAAAGTAGGATCACAACCTAGATCTCTTAACTCTGTCAATCTTTCCTAAGAAAAAATAAATTATTTTAGGCACTTGTAACATGAAAATATAAATTGTACTACGAACTTGTAATGTAGAAATGCTATGAGTAAAAATACGAGGAATTCTTAAGATTTGCCACGGTGTAAATCCTTCATTCAGTAAATAGTCTAAAAGTTCTTGAAGTTTAGTAGGACTTACTCTAAGCATTGTAGGATATTTTGCACTGATGTCACGTATAAATTTTTCATCTACATTCAGTCTGTTAGCTAAATATTGAGCAGTTGAACATTTGTTCAAAACATTTCTATTTTTTTGTTTAATTTCTAATGACCTATAAAAAGTTTTTAAATTACAGAAATACATAAATATATATATAAATATCTCACTTAAGGCTTTAAAATAATTCTTTTAATTTTTAATCATTTACCTAGTTAAATTTAAGGAAAAAATTGGTAGTAAAAATCACATTTTTCATGAAGTGTTTTTTTTTTTGCAATTTTCTTTTAATGAAAACATCAAACCCTTAATTTAGCTATAAATATAAGAGGACTTAACAAAATACTTGATGAGACTAAAATGATTTTTATACAATACATTTTTTTTTTTAATCAATATATGTATTTAAAAAATAATAATTCAATATTTTATATAGAATAATTTTAATATAAAAGGAGTTGGACTTCCTTTAAAGTTGCTCCAATACTATATCTGTTTAATATACATAATAACATGACTTATGAAAATAAATGTTTATTAAAGAATTAATTTTAATTAAATAGTCATAAATGTATACAGGGTGATTTTTTTATCATAACCCACTCAATTACTTACAGAATAATAATATTTAAAAATTTTTTTTTTATTACTATCTTGAGTTACACATTATTCTTGAATTATTAACTATGTAATACTTTTTAAGTTCATCCCTTATGCCTGGTAAGGGTGTCAACTTTGTTTTTTTAAATGGTAACACATATTTTTAATTCAATAAAATGTTTGAGTTTTTAATTCAATAGTAAATGGCATTTGAATTTTAAATGAAACTTAATTTGTTTATTAGATATAAACATTTAAAGTTTCAAATTTTTGAGTTAATATATAGGTATAATACACAAGGGATTACAAATACAGGTAGCTAATTGGTTTTTTATGATATTGCTATCACAGTCACGGATTGTTTATTATCAATTATGACTATCAATAGATATACTTTTTGTATTGTCAGTTAGTGTATTTATAAACTCACAACAATGTACCTTACTATCATTGATAATAACAATGCTGTGTACCTGCTAATATCGATGTCATAAAAAACCAATTAGCTACCTGTATTTGTAATCCCTTGTGTATTATACCTATATATTAACTCAAAAATTTGAAACTTTAAATGTTTATATCTAATAAACAAATTAAGTTTCATTTAAAATTCAAATGCCATTTACTATTGAATTAAAAACTCAAACATTTTATTGAATTCAAAATATGTGTTACCATTTAAAAAAACAAAGTTGACACCCTTACCAGGCATAAGGGATGAACTTAAAAAGTATTACATAGTTAATAATTCAAGAATAATGTGTAACTCAAGATAGTAATAAAAAAAAAATTTTTAATTATTATTATTCTGTAAGTAATTGAGTGGGTTATGATAAAAAAATCACCCTGTATACAATGCAATTATTTTAATGCTAGATAAATATATATTAATCTTACATATGTATATAATCTATAAATATAGATTAAATATATAATATTTAAAATATTGATTGTTGGTGAAGAGTGGGTATAAAAATATTTATCATTAAATATTTCTAGACCATACTCCCTTTCATCTAAGTATAATTAATAACTTCTAAAGTACTAGTTTAAAAGTTGTTTTAATTTATTTAATTAAAACATTTTATAATCTAGTTAAATGTGTATGTTTCCATTTAAAAAAGACAAAGTTGACATACTTATAAGGTAAAAAAAAATAAATTAAAATAGCAAATTGTAACTCAATAAATTAAGGAATACACTAAAATAAAAAATACGAAAAATAATTTTTATAGCACAATTATTATATTAGAAAAACTTATTGACTACTGATAAAAGGGTCACTCTGTATATATATATACATAATATTTATTATATACATTAAAATTTTGGGCATTTTGGGAAAATTTAAGGTTTTTAAACAATTTTTACTAGTGGTAAAGTGTTTTTATTATTTTATTTAGTATATCAAAATAGTTTAATTTTTACTGTAGAATACAAATTTTTTAGTTTCAATATTTGAAGTCTAAAATTGATAGCGTAGATATCATAATTAACATCATTATATGGTATAATTCTAGTAGGTCTCAAGTAAGCTTAAATTTTTTTTATATAGTGTTACAGTGAATAACAAATAAAGTTCTAACAACTCTTTATAATTATCCCGAGAAGTCAGTTTTAATGTTATCAAAAATATAAAACTTTTTTATTGAATTATATTTAATAAAAATTAATTGTTTAATAAAAAATATGTAATGACAATATTTATTTATTCATATTTTCAAGAATATCGTATATTTTAACTTATGCATTAATTACAAAATGAGGTATAAGTTTTTAAGATTAGTGAAGAATTTTTTTTCTGTTTATAATATACATAAATATCAGCAGTGTTGAGAAGGAACTGGTTCCAAAAGGAACGGATTCCTGGAACGAGTTCTTTTTGAAGGAACGAAGCTAGGAACTGCTTCCTTTTAAAATAAAGGAACGAGGAAAATGAACAAATTCCATTTTTTAAGGAACGTGAACGGAAATTACAGTTCCTAAAAATTTTTATAAACATGTTTTAGTGTAGTTTTCTTCGTATCTAGACATTAAAATATTAAGGNCTTCTTCGTATCTAGACATTAAAATATCAAGGTATTTTTAGTTGACTTTTGACAATGGAAGTCCCCTATATACCCAGCCGAGATAGTAGGCTGTTTAAATGAATCAATTGACTATAGAGTTATTATCACATGTAGGTATACAGTAAATATTTGATATATGTGTACATATATTAAATAATGCACCGAATATTATCGTCGTTTCTTGTTAACTAATATATGTTAAAGGTTTTGGGTTTTCTGATTTATTATTTCTAACTTATATGTAGACAATAGACATTGGTCGCGTTGACACAAGTCGTTAGCATTTACTACCTGTTTATAAATATAATTTTCGAATACTTTTAGATAAGGAATACTACAAATTTGTTTTGTATTCGACTGCTGATGAAAATCATTGATGACCGTTATCATGATCTCATTGCCACAATTTTTTAAATAACTTGGTTACATAAAAGGAACGAAGAGTGGAACGAGTTCTTATTTTGGAGGAACTGGATCTGGAACAAGTTCNCGAAGAGTGGAACGAGTTCTTATTTTGGAGGAACTGGATCTGGAACGAGTTCATATTTTAGAAAATGAACGGGGAACGGAACGAGTTCCATTTAAAAAGGAACTTTCCCAACACTGAATATCAGTCAAACTGCATAAAAAATTTTTTTTTAATTTTAAGCTTACTTAAGACCTACTAGAAATATACCATATAATGATGCTGATTATGATATCCACGCAACCATTTTTCGACTTAAAATGTTGAAACCAAAAAAATTGTATTCTACAGTAAAAATAAAACTATTAGACCAAAAATTGAATAACAGAGGCCGTTTTTTGAGGTATTTTTGGTCAAAATACTAAAAACACGTTGGGCCACTAGTAAAATTTTTTTTTTAAATCTCAAATATTCCCAAAATGTCTATTTTAATGTATATAATAAAGAAAATGGTTCTCATTAAAATTTCGAAGATTGACTTTTTGATCCTCCCTAATGTATATATATATATGAGAAAATCCTTACAATGATACTGAAATTAAAATACTCACAAGGGGAGGTCACGGTGTGGTACCCACCGATTTTCATAAAATGTATATAGATCTATTCTATATTGACTATTTAATCACCTTTATTTCGAATTTGTTGCCAATGCCCCCCCTAAGTCGAGAAAATCGACTTTGAAAATTGTTGTTTAACTTTAATAGAGTTAATTTTTCAATTGGGATAAGGTCGTACTATTGTCTAATGGATAGCGCGTGACAGTCCGATCATGGGGTTCCGAGTTCGAATCTCTGAACGAGACATGANCAATATAGAATAGATCTATATACATTTTATGAAAATCGGTGGGTACCACACCGTGACCTCCCCTTGTCAGTCTAATAATAATATAATATTATATAGCAATAAATTATACCTTTCTAATGTTTTATTCTGGCATCTTATCATCCAAGGTTTAATTTTAACATTTGCTGCATTAGCACGTGCAATTCTTTGTTTTATTTGATCAACACTATATGTGAATACCCATATGTCTTTCCAAATGTCTTCTTTCCCAACTTCGTTTTCTAAAATAAAATAATTTTATATAAACTATACGCATAATAAATAAGATTGTTTTTTTCAAAGTAATTGATATTTCTAATAAACATTTCAATTATAATTAATTAAATTGATTAATAATAAATAAATTAAATAGGTTTATATTAATTACTAATATTTTTCTATTAAAAAATAGTATTTTTTAATAGAACTATTTTTTTTTATTAAAAACCTATTTAATTTTAATTGAATATCCAATTTTTTTTTTCAATTAATTATTGATATGTTATAATGAAATATTTTTATTAATATTTAATATTAATAGTTAATATTTATATAAGTTATATGCTACTTACTAATTAATAATTTGTAAATGGCTTGTAACATTGAAAATTGACGAGTAAATAAAAATTTGTAGATCATCATGTGATAACAAACAATTTGTGGATCTTTCTAAGAATTAATTTTAAATAGAATTATTTGTATTATTCTTAGTAAAATATTAACAATAATTATGTACTATTTTCATGATTTAAACATTATTTTAAAGCTATGTAAAGCCTGTATGTAATGTAAGATTACATTTTAATCTAAAATCTTAGTTTGACATGGTATTGTGATTCTCTCAGCTCCACATCACATTATCAACTAATAATAAGCATCAAATCCATATCAATACGTTGTCTAGACAATGCATTTGGATTGATTAAAATAAGTAAATCCGTGTAATCAATTGTGCCATGTACAATGGCATACCTAAAATTCTATGTTATCAATTTGACTCGTTAAGTACAGCCTAATTGTTTTCAGCCTCTCAACATTTAAAAAAAAGATTAGAAAGCTCTTTACTGTCTCACTCTACATAGTAGTTTTTACATTATCTATGTGTACCAAAAAAATAATCAAAATAACACTCCTAGAGGTGTACTGCTTAGAGATAATATTATTTAAATAATTAAAACTACACTAAAGGAGAAAAAATTTAATTTAAATGGTGAACATTTTAATAAATTATTAAGTGTAAATAAAAAATGACTAAAATTTTTCCCAAACAATACATAACAGGTATTAAATTTAAAATTGTTTAAATTTAAGTGTTAATGTCATGGAATTTTATATTTTCTATAAATAATAAAGGAATAAAAATTGAATACTATTTACCTCAAAGTTATTTGAAAAAAAATATACTCGATTTTTATAAGGTATAGTTGTAGATTCTCTCATAGTTTTTTTTGTTAAGTAGATTAGTTTTGATTTTGGCAATTGTAGAAGTACAAATAGATCATCCATTTGTTCAGGATTCCATTTTTTTAATAAATCAAAGCCATTACTCAAGTATTCTTAAAAAAAATACCTTTAAATTTATGATAAAAAAAAATTGATGTACAATACTTACCACATTTAAAGTTAAAAAGCCAATCATTTTTTTTTACTACAATTTCAGACAGTCCATTGTCAATACAAAGTTTTAATTTTTTTTCCTTTTCATGAACAAATTTTAATTGTGAAGTAGCTAAGCATTCTTGTTTCAGTTTTGCTGCAGTATGGTAGTAATTATTTAAAGGAATAATTCTTACACTTCTTAAAAAACTCAACGTGTGATGTATAAACATTTTAAATTAAAACTATCAACTACATATTTCATCAAGTTAATTTAGTATAGGATAGTATAAGGTATAATTAAAACAAAATATAAAAAAAGATAAATATGATGTACAAAAAACAAAGTATTCTTAGTTTATGGTGTAAAATAATATTTTATATTTATGTTTAAATGTAGTACTCAATAAAAATAATATTAAATAATCTTATAACAAGAAGCTTAGATTAAATACACATAGATAGGCCACGGCATTCAGACAATTGGCAACCCATTTTTTGTTAATTTATACCCGTAGAGATAGCGCTATATATCCTCTCGGAAATATTAAATATTTAATAATAACTGTCCAGT